AAAAAAATATCCTTTCCTTCTTTTTTCAGAAAATGCTGATATCAGCATTTTTGTTGAGATTCAAGGCTGATTATCTGGAAAAAATGCGTGGCTACCCCAATTTTTCTTTGTTGATTCCAATGGCCCTTGCAAAGATCTACTTTTTCGGCGTGGTCCTAACCCGGCGAAAAAACCTTTGTATTTAGTAGGCACCTTCCTTAAAGCTCAATTATTATCAAAAAAGGTATTTTTATTGCAAAAATTGATTTTCAGCGTTTTTAACGGAAATTAAGAAATCCTTTTTTTCCCTAATAGTTAATTTGGCGCATAGACTCCAAAACTCTTCTCCAATCCCAGCCCTCTACTACAGCATCGCGTTCCCTGGAATACCTCAGCAATGCGACACGCACAGGCCCCTCGCGGATAATGTGGTTGCTGGAGACTGGTCTCCTGGTTTTTCTTGGTTATATCCTGGCTTACTACATTCCTCAGGTAAGTTGGTTCTAATGTTCCAGTTCAACACGTAAATTCGTTTTTATTTCCTTAAGGCACTGATCACTCTAACTGTTGACGAACTTCGAGAGAGAATGATCTTGGTGAGATCCTCCTTTATTTCTTACATTCGTATCGTTTTTTTGTTTTCGTAATTATATCTGCCAGGACCTCCTTTAAACGGTTTTTAAAGTTAAGAATCTTTTCAGTGAAACTCGCCAAGATATATAAACAATAGCCTCCATTTGGCGCGAAAATATGTTAGAATAATTGTCTGCGGACATTATCTGTTCCGAGAAGCGAACAGATAAATATTCCAGCATATTTTTGCGCCAAATGAAGGCTATTGTGTTTATTATCCTTCAAATATTTTCCGCAACACGCACTTCCTGGGGCATTTCCTCGGATATTCCCCAGTTTTAGCTGGGGAATATTCCGTCACGTGACGCGTTTAGACCAGTCGCGCGCGGCGAAAATATTTGACGGATAATAATGAATAATGGATAATACGGGTGGTAGTAACGCAATCAAAGGCAACGTTTAAGTGGAAATTGAGAAAACTGTGTTCAATTTAACACATCACGAAGGTGTTGTGGATAGTGTTAAAGATGTCTTCATCTGCGTCAAAGAGCTCTCAAACGCGTTGTCGATAGTGTCTGTGAAGTCCCGCATGCAGGATTTACATAATTTTAACATACATTCGTGCATTAATGTTTTCCTTGCTATGGTTCTCAGGTTGCCATGGTTTGGGGATTCGTCGGTGCTATAGGAACCACAATCATGATCTACATTCTTCCTCCAGCCTTCTATCTGCGTGTCCGCATTCACCCGCCACGTCCAGACTTAAAGCAGATCGCAGCCTGGGGACTAATGTTGACAGGACTGACCGTCCTGATCGTTTGCACCTATCAATCATTCGCAAACGTCATCAATCCTATTCCTAAAATAGTCCGTCCACACGGAGTGACTAATTCAACATTACATGGCACAGCGTCGTCACTTCTTTGAATTGACTTTGAAGAGCCACTAATACAAGACGTTGACGGTTGACTGTTGGAACGTCATGTGACGCTTTTCTGCACTTGAAGGAGCTACGTCACGGTTTGCGCATCTCGAAAAACAGTCAAAAACAATCGTTTGGAATCCATGTTAATCTTCTCCATCCTTAACCATCCCTGTTCCTTTATGGTTTATTATTATCTCTCTGGTGTTTTTCTTTCTTGGTAAACTATTGTTTTCAGGTTGCCTTCATTTTAAAGGTTATTTTGTACACGGCCAAAATAAATCAAAATACCATGACTGAGCTCCTTTAAGCATTGCCTGACCACTGAAATACACTGGAGAGACAAGAAGACCGAAGAATTGTTTCTTTCAACGCCTCGAAGTATTAAGTCTTTTAAGTCTGTTCTGTGAATTTGGAAAATGTAACGCACACTGAAACCTTTTGCGTGACACCTGTCAATTTAGCCAGCAAGTCTTACCGAAGAAAGCGTGACTTCTGCAATCGCGCTCGTAAGTCACGCATTTTTCAATGAATTTCGTATCGCTTTGATCGACACTGAGTAATTTACATAACACTCGAATTTGTGTTTTTAACAAGCATATTATCGTATTAATTTTATTTATTTATTACTTTTGTTTCTGTTACCCAAGTTACAGTTGTTTTATTTTCTAGGATAAGAAACAATTGGGAAGGTGCTATTGGGGTCAAAATAATTTACATAATATGGGGATTGATTTGAAGAAGACAGTATTAAAATTATTTATCTAACATTGCTGAAAAAGGCTCTAAATCGTTTGAAATAACAATCTGTTGGTAACATAAATTATTGTTTTATAAATAGCCGTAAATTATTTTGTACAGGTTATAGTTAGTATCAGATTTATATAGCTATACAAATTATCGATTATTTGAAGTGTATCACTGCCATGGTAATATCCACTATCAGGCTCGGGACGTCTTACATGACGTAATATCTGATTTAGTGGCCTTTGCCGGGCTTCTTGCAGCGAGAATTTATAATGGTTTAGTAGTAGGGATTTCATTGCGGTTTGTCGTTGAGATTGATTTCCATGTATTTGCTTCGAAAGAATCAAATTCAGATCCTTGAATTTATCAAGAGTACTGCATTAATTACGGCCTACGGGCGCTGAATAAGAGTACTTTTGTAAGATACTTCTAGTAGAAAACTGTTTTTCGTTTTACTTTATTCGCGTTCAATGTCAGGTATTTATATTTTTCACACGTAAAAAGAAGCAGGTGACGAAGTAGACTACAAGAAAGAGGCAGAACCATCTCTTTGAAATCAATAAATAAAGGAAACTCTTTATAGAGAATTCCGACTCGTGTGAAATAGTTGCATTGCGAACAGTTCCTCTCCGAGGAACACCGAGTGGGAAAAACTTTGGGCCCCTCCATGCAGTTAAAACCCATGTGTAAGAACCTAGTGGTTTAAGAACCTGCTGGCAGAAATTTGCCATTTTAATACCCAAAAATATAAGAACCTGTTTAGCCAAGCAAGATCAAGCAGGTTCTCTTATATGTGGTTTACAGCTAAATTATGATAAACAGTTTAACCAAGGAGCTAGTGTGACTGAGATTGCAAATTTATATAACAAGAAATTACATGATACAATTGTGGATCACTGCTAAATATGTTGTTTTTTTTTGTTTTGTTTTGTTTTGTTTTTTTCATCTTTCTAATAATCAACAACTATATATCCTTCGTAGAAATTAAGAACTTGGTCTAAATTGCCAAAACACAAGAATCTATTTTGCCAGACCTCAAAAACTGTAGGTTTTTACACGCGGGCTCATACTGTACAGTAGAGTGCGTCGCCACACAATGTTCTCCGCACGAAGCTAGCGTTGCGTGACGGTCGTAATAATACCTTATATGGAGTGGTACTTACCAACATTCCGCTCCGCCGTTCAATGTAAAGTTAACATGGACATTTTCCTAGGCGAGGGGCGGGAAACGGGGAGCCCCGGGCTTGATGGTTAGGAGGAAAAATACGGAACCGCTTCCTCAAGTCCAACAGGCCCAGAACTCCACGCGCACTGTGCTTCAACTAAGAATCCACCGGTCCTGGAGACGAGGCGAGACATCAGTTGGTCTTCAAGGATATCTAGAGAGGGGAAGTCCTTGGCCCCTTAGACATTTTAAATTATATTTATCATTATTTTTGCTGTTTCTTATAACCTTGATTGAGGATGGAAAGATCTGATCACTGCGCGCGCGACTTAATGAATCTCGTCATCATGCTTAATACGATACTGAGGTTTTGTGACGAAACAAAGGAAAGTTGGATCTTCTCCAAAAAGAAGTGAAAATGTTCGCGATAGCTCAGTGTAGCGTCCTCGCTGCACAGACGCTGTGTCGTATTTTCTTTCCAAGTGATTTGAAAAAATACAAAACAAATGTGAGATCAAGGTAAGTCGAACTTTGAAAATTTGATTTCTAGCCATAAAAACAGAGGTTCGCTCGTGTGCTAAAACACAAGGGGAGACGAAAAAAACTATTGTACTGAAAGGCGAAATGTTGTCGAGTCT